TTTTCAGAGGCGCTCACACTGATGATGTTTGCCCTCCTAAATCCTATAGAGTTAGAGTTTTCCACATATAGATTTTCTGGTTTTACTTTGTTTTAATAAACAACAATGTGATGGGTTCTGTTGTGTTTTTGTATACTCAGAATTAGAATTGCTCATCATAGGGGTCTGTGGGTTGCACTTTGTCTGGTCCCTCACAGACCCCTATGGTGAGCAAAATAAATGGAATCAATCTAAAAAAGTTAAATCTGGTCCTCTGGACATTCAAAAAAAACAAAGCAAATCAACAAAAAAATGTAGAAATATTTCGTCTCTCATCCGAGAGACTTCATCAGTCTGAGGAGCTGTATTCAGCTCAGTCTCTTAAATAGCACCGTCTCAGAGTGGATCAACCAGTTTGGTGCTGACAACCAAAAACAGCTGATCACATGCTCAAGAAGGACCATCAGCCTAACAATGGATCATTAGCACACTGATGGCTGTTTACTGTTCACAGAGGGCTGAGTGATACTAGCAATCACAGCATTGTAAGAGGGGGACAGTTGAACACGGAGGCCTCCACCCCGTTTAATGATGGACGATTTCTTTTCACAAAGATGGCCTCCTTTACTCCTCTCTCAAACCATCGTTCCTCTCTGTCCAGGATGTGAACATCTTCATCCTGAAAGAGTGACCGCTGGCCTGGAGATGAGTGTAGACCGCAGAGTCCTGGCCTGATGATGTTGATCTTCTGTGCTGGTCCATCCTTTTGGCCAGTGGCTGTTTTGTTTCCCCGATGTAAGACTGATCACAGCCCTCCTGACACTGAACAGCATACACAACATTGCTCTGTTTGTGCTGGGGGACTGGATCTTTGGGATGAACCAGTCTTTGCTGTAATGTATTTTGGGGTTTAAAAGCCACTGGGACGTTATGTTTAGAAAATAAACGTCTCAGTTTCTCTGATACTCCCTCAACATATGGAATGACCACTGGTCTGGGTCTGGGTTCCTCCTTTTCACCTGTTGGCTGACTGGAGTCCTGTTTGGGTTTCTTCTCTGCTTTCAGGAAGGCCCAGTTAGGATATCCACATTGCTCTAGAGCCTGTCTTGTGTGGGATTTCTCCTTCTGCCTGGCTCCTGAGCTAGTGGGGACGCTGTCTGCTCTGTGATACAGAGTCCTGATGACTCCTAACTTGTGCTCCAAAGGGTGATGGGAGTCAAACTGCAAATACTGGTCTGTGTGTGTGGGTTTGCGGTACACCTCAGTTTGCAAATGTCCTCTATCCGAGACTGAGACCTCACAGTCCAAGAAAGCCAACCTGCCATTTTTTACATCTTCTCGTGTGAACTTGATGTATTTATCCACAGAGTTGATGTGGTCAGTAAAATGTTGGACTTCCTGAGATTTGATTTTAACCCAAGTGTTGTCAACATACCTGAACCAATGACTTGGTGGTGTCCCCGAAAAGGACATCAAGGCTCTCTTTTCTACCTCCTCCATGTACAGGTTGGCAACAATAGGAGAAACTGGAGACCCCATAGCACACCCATGTTTCTGCCTATAATATTGCTCCCCATATGTGAAGTAGGTTGACTGCAGGCACAGTTTCAAGAGTTGACACAGTTGTTCTGTAGAAAGTGTGGTCCTGCTGCTCAAAGTGGTGTCTGATTTTAATTTTAAACTGACCACCTCTACTGCATCATCAACAGGAATGCACGTAAAGAGTGATGTGACATCAAAAGAGACCATTGTTTCATCAGTCTCCATGATGACATCCCTCACCTTGTCCACAAAGTCCATGGTGTTCTGTATGTGGTGTTCTGAGCTGCCAACTAAAGGGATGAGTACAGACGCCAGATATTTGGAAACATTGTAAGTGACAGAGTTAATCATACTAACAATTGGTCTTAAAGGTACACCTTGTTTGTGGATTTTAGGTAAACCATACAGACTAGGTGTGGCCTCCCCTGGGTACAGTCTGTGGTACAGAAAACGGTCAATAGCCTTGTCCTGCTCCAAAATTTTCAGGCAATCTATTAACTTTTTCTTGTAACCACTTCCTGGATTTCTTTTCAGAGGTTCATAAGTGTTTAAGTCACTAAGGAGTGTCATAACTTTCTCATGATAGTCTTTCTGGTTCAAAATCACTGTGCACCTTTCTTTGTCTGCTGGGAGAATGATGATGTTTTTGTCCTTGCTAAGAGTGGTGAGTGCATCCCTCTCCTCTCTACTGATGTTGGAAGGTGGTGGTTTGGCATTGCTGAGGCAGGCTGAAACTTTGATTCTGAGCTGTTCTGCTTCAGCCTCTTTAATTTTGTTGTTGCGGATGGCTGACTCAGTAGCTGTGATCATCTCCACCAGAGGAATTCTACTTGGTGCAACCGCAAAGTTCAGTCCCCTGGCAAGAATCTCTGTCTCTGGCTGGGTGAGCTGTCTGTCAGATAAATTCTTCACCCACTTTTCTGTCTCCCTGGCATGTAATTTTTTTTTTGAATGTCCAGAGGACCTGATTTAACTTTTTTAGATTTTTCTACCTGGATTATTGAGCATGCATCAGGAGAAATGGAATCAATGTTCCCTCGCCTGGACGTGGGTCACCGGGGCCCCACTCTGAAGCCGGGCCTGGAAGTGGGGCACGCTGGTGAGCGCCTGGTGGCCAGGCTTTTACCCATGGAGCCTGGCCGGGTACAGCTCGAAGAGGAGACGTGGATCCCTCTTCCCATGGGCTCACCAACTGTGGGAGGAGCCAAAGGGGTCGAGTGCAATGTGGGATGGGTGGTGGCCGAGGGCAGGGACCCTGGTGGTCTGATCCTCGGCTATAGAAGCTGGCTATTGGGATGTGGAATGTCTCCTCTCTGGTGGGGAAGGGGCCTGAGCTGGTGTGTGAGGTTGAGAGGTTCCAGCTAGAAATAGTCGGACACTCCTTGAGAGGGTGTTGGACACTCTTCCACTCTGGAGTTGCCCCTGGCAAAAGGCGCAGAGCAGGAGTGGGCATACTTGTTGCCCCCCATCTTGGTGCCTGTACGTTGGGGTTCACCCCGGTGAACGAGAGGGTAGCCTCCCTCCACCTACGTGTGGGGGGACGGGTTCTGACTGTTGTTTGTGCTTTTGCGCCAAACATCAGCTCAGACTACCCACCCTTTTTGGAGTCCTTAGATGGGGTACTGGACAGTGCGCCTCCTGGGGGCTCCCTTGTTCTACTGGGGGACTTCAACGCTCACGTGGGCAATGACAGTGAGACCTGGAGAGGTGTGGTTGGGAGGAATGCCCCCCCCCCCCCACCCCCGATCTGAACCCGAGTGGTGTTCTGTTATTGGACTTCTGTGCTCATCATGGATTGTCCATCACGAACACCATGTTCAAGCATAAGTGTGTCCATATGTGCTCTTGGCACCAGGACACCTTAGGCCGCAGTTCGATGATCGACTTTGTTGTCATGTCATCTGATCTGTGGCCACATGTCTTGGACACTCATGTGAAGAGAGGGGCGGAGCTGTTCACTGATCACTACCTGGTGGTGAGTTGGCTCCGATGGTGGGGGAGGATGCCGGTCAGACCTGGCAGACCCAAATGTATTGTCAGGGTCTGCTGGGAACGTCTGGCAGAGTCTCCCGTGAGACGGAGCTTTAACTCCCACCTCCGGGAGAGTTACAAACACGTTCCGGGGGAGGCGGGGGACATTGAGTCCGAGTGGGCCATGTTCTGCTCCTCTATTGTCGAGGCGGCTTATCGGAGCTGTGACTACAAGGTTGTTGGTGCCTGTTGCAACGATAACCCTCAAACCCGATGGTGGACACCGGCGGTGAGGGATGCTGTCAGACTGAAGAAGGAGTCCTATTGGGCCTTTTTGGCCTGTGGGACCCCGGAAGCAGCTGATGGGTACTGGCAGTCCAAGCGGCATGCGGCTCGGGTGGTCACTGAGGCAAAAACTTGGGCATGGGAGGAGTTCGGAGAGGCCATGGAGAATGACTTCCGTATGACTTCGAGGCAATTCTGGTCCACCATCCGGCGTCTCGGGGGGGAAAGCGGTATGCCACCAACACTATTTATAGTGGAGGTGGTGTGCTGCTGACCTCAACTCGGGATGTCGTGGGTCGGTGGGCAGAATACTTCAAAGACCTCCTCAATCCCACTTGCACGTCTTCCACTGAGGAAGCGGAGCCTGGGGACTTTGGGTCGGGCCCTCCAATCTCTGGTGCTGAAGTCATCGAGGTGGTTAAAAAGCTCCTCGGTGGCAGGGCCCCAGGGGTAGATGAGATTCGCCCGGAGTTCCTTAAGGCTCTGAATGTTGTGGGGTTGTGTTGGCTTACACGACTCTGCAATATTGCGTGGACATCGGGGGCAGTTCCCCTGGCTTGGCAGACTGGGGTGGTGGTCCCCCTATTCAAAAAAGGGGACCGTAGAGTGTGTTCCATCTACAGGGGGATCACGTTCTTAAGCCTCTCTGGTAAGGTCTATTCAGAGGTTCTGGAGAGGAGGGTCCATCGGATAGTTGAACCTCGGATTCAGGAGAAGCAGTGCAGTTTTTGTCTTGGTTGTGGAACACTGGACCAGCTCTACACCCTCAGCAGGGTCCTGGAGGGTGCGTGGATTAGGGTTAGGGTTAGAATTGAATAGTTTTAGAACCTGTTAAAGACCAGATTCATTTGTTATCTTGTCCAGATCTATAAAACTCTGGAACTTAGTGACGGTGTACTTTCTCTTTTCTCTGACAGTATAACTATTAAAAAAAAAAAAAAACATTTATAATTATGTTTTAAATGTTTTTTTAATGTTTTAAAACATTTATTTTTTTAATTTTTAATAAAAATATTGCTACCCATTTATAACTGGATCATATATTATTTTTTTAATTTTTTTTATTCAGTTGTTTGTTTGTTGACAGCACAGCCTCACAACAATCGACAGTCACCATTTTTTGAGGAACTTTAGATTTTCAGCTCAGACAAAACAACAAATGTGATTTTATTTGATATGTCAAAGTTTATTCATCATCTGAAACCTGAGAGGAACGTTGTGTTTCAGTGTTTCTTGGTCTGTTTCTTACGAAGAGCAGAACCAGATGCTTTGGGAGATGAGTAGTTCATTGTCGATGCTGAGCGTCTCTGCAGGAAGTCTTCGTCTCCATCTTCATCTGAAAAACATGCCGCAGCGGTTATGGAAATCAAATGTGACAGAAGATGTTATTTCTCCCACATAGGAGCGTTTTTTTTAGAATGACCGTCATGTGCCGTCACTACCTAATGGCTTATTTTTAAAGAATTAAGGTGCAGTCAGTGAGGGACATATAACAGATGTTCTCAAATCTATAATGAATAAACTGAGAAAATTTGGGTTTTGAATGACAATACAACTGTATATTAAATAGTGACTGAATGTGACATTTAGAAATTTTGAACTTGTTTAATTTTGCAACAAATAAATAAGAATAAATTGTTTTTTTTCTCCATGCATTTGTGTCCTTGCAGTCCTCTTACAAATAGCCGACAGGAGAAATGTGTGTGATACGCAGATCCTGCACACACTTGTGACCTGCACACATCCCAGCTCTGCAGGCGTCTTCTGAAGCTGCCTTTGAGCTGCTCTGTGCTGCCCTCACAAGCCCCTCACAGGAACCTGTCTCCGCTCTAATGGAAACTGTCTGTGCTCCCAGTCTGATGCAGGCTGTGTCACCATAAACACGACTCCAGAAATCAAAGCTGCTTCTCGCAGGAAGCTGATGTTTTTTTTTCACATAACTGCAAAAAGCATGAACTGCTTCACACTCTGAATAAAAGCAGATCAGTTCTTGTTAACTACCACATAAACATGACACTATTTGAAAATTATTCACCTGAGCAGGTAGCTTCCAGACTAAGGTAACCATCCAGCAAAGAGCTTAAGCTTGTCAAGCCTCCCATGGCAGTGTAAGGAACAGCTCTGCCAACAGGCTGACCTCTTGCCTCCCTCTCTGCTTTTGTCTCCACCTGTGAAGTACAAATAATTTAAGTACTAACTACTGTCCATTGAGTTTAACCTTTAAAACCTTGGGCTACTAACCAGGGTTTGGTGTCTGGAACAAGGATGGCCACAACCACAAGTGTAAGGACTCTGAAACCCTGAACAGTTATTGCCTGAAAGATATATTGTTGGGAAACAGGTGATGTGTTTCCTTTTGGCTATGACATGAACAGGATTGCACTGAACACATCTTGACAGCTGGTAAACTGAGACTCACACTTGTTGCACACGTGATCCATGGCTTCATTGTGATCCTGGGGTAAGTGTTTACACCTGCAGCGCACGGAATTTGATCCAAGTCGAGGAACGTACTGGAACACAGAACAGTGACATCCCCCAACCTGGCATGGCAGTGCAAGAGGTCGCTCAGAGGGAACCACCTCCCACTCTGTCCTGTGCTGCTTATACCTGGTAGATCGTAAATCACCTGTGTGCTGTATTTGTCTGTGTGGATGTCTGACCTGATGTGTTATGAAGTCTTACCTGTGAGTGCAGAAACACTGCGTCTCAGGGCCAATCTGTTTGCAGTCAACACCCCCTGGTACCCCAAAGCTCACATACAACCTGTTTTGAACACGAAGAGGAAGAACTTTTCTTTTGTACTCTTCATATTGCTCTGGAGTGAACAGTTTTCCACCATCATCATCACCCACAATCCTTAAAATAAAATTAAAAAAACATGAAAAGAACTTGTTGCACCATAACTGGACCTGCTGATAACAAAAGGACTATGTTAGTTCAGTATTTATGTTTCACCTCAACTTTTACGTCAGTTGCCTCTAAATGACAGCACCCTTGTCCCAAATGAGCAAAAAACACTGAACTTAGAATAGAATAGAATAGAATAGAATAGAATAGAATAGAAACAGCCTTTTTTGTCCCACGGATGGGAAATTCAAGTGTAACAGCAGCAACAGCAGCAACAGATAAAAAGATAAAAAGATTTCACACAAAAGTTCCTAAATGTTGATAAACAATACAATATATAAGAAATAAGATAAACAATATCAATAATAATGTTCAATATGTATTGGAACATTGAGAATGACAGACTATTTACAGTACAGTATTATAGGCAGAGTGTGTATTTTAGCAGAGGTCAGTATGCATTTAATCTTTATTGAGTTTGTTGGGAGCAGAACACAAGAGCCTACTGAAACTTGTGTTTCAATATTAGGACATACCTTCTGTACTCCCAGTAGTCGTCCACTGCTTGTAAAGCTGATTTATCCAGACGTATCGTATTCATTGTCAAAAACTAATAGGTGTGTTGTAAGACACGCAACTCCTGTTTACAACCGGAGCTAAGGTTGCCATAGAGACGGTTGCAGATTTCCCTCTAGTGGACATAAAGTAAATTGCAAGAAATAAAAAATAAAAACAAATAGTAATCAAAAAGTACAGGTAAACTCACATTATGGGTACAGGAGGTGCCAAGGTAGGTATCACTGATAAGATGTACAGAGAAGTGGATCAAAAGGGACTAGTTCTAGTTCTAGTTCTAGTTCTAGAACTGCACTGTTCAAGGTGGCTGCATGTTGGAGTACTGTTACATTCATTCAGGGATATTTAATTTACCTTTGGGATTAATCAAGTATTTTGAATTGAATTATATTTTATGAAAACAAAAGATGATGGCAAAATAGCAACACAAGGGCTAACTTTGTGGCTTTGCTAGTTGCCTGTTTAATTCTTAAAGATTTCTTGCAAATTAAAAGCACATAAGATTGTAAAATTCTACGTCTTTCCATCCATCCATCCATCCATTATCTTTTACCCGCTTCTTCCATTTTGGGTCATGGGGGTCGCTGGTGCCCATGTCCGGCAATCACTGTGTGAGGGGCGGGGGACACCCTGGACGTCCTTGAAAATACAATATAGTGCTTTTGTACTGGATTTGAAATTGTGCTAACAGGCTATTTATTTTACCTTCCTCACAATACAAAATAAGTAACAACACATGTTTGCACATACAGTAATTGAGCTCATGTCTAACTTTTGTAAATTTAATGATTTTATCACTTTCAAGTTCAAGTAGGTTTTATTGTCATTCACATCACATGTGGTGCATGAGGTGGAATGAAATTATGTACACAGGGTCCCAGTTACATCCAACAATAGCAAAAATATAAATTGTAAAAATAAACAGTAAATAAGGATCTAAACTAAGAAATACACAAACACTAATAGTACAAAACAAAATGTCGAACAACAGCAGTTCGAACATGAGTCTGCGTGAGCAGATGAGCACGCATGAACACAGCAACATGAAACAGATCAGCAGCAACATTAAACAGATCAGCAGCAACATGATGTGATTTTTCACAGTGATTATTCTGGTTAGAGATTCATGAGTCTAACAGCCTCAGGGTAGAAGCTGTTCCTCAGTCTAGTGGTTCTACACTTAATGCTCCTCAACCTCCTTCCTGAGGGGAGCGGGGCAAAAAGTGTATGTGCTGGGTGAGTGGGGTCCTTCATGATGCAGGTGGCCCTCTTCCTGCATCTGGAGGTGTAGATGCCTGTGATGGTGGGGAGGCTGACTCCAACAGACTTCTGTGTAGCCTTCACCACTCTCTGCAAAGCTTTTCTGCAAAGAGCACACAGATGAGTCCTTCTGCTCCAGGTGGGTGAGAGCAGTGTGAACCACAGAAGAGATGTTGATCGATTCTTGTGGTATGCATAATAAAAGTTCTCCTAAAAGTTCATTTCTAAAAGTTACAGAGATATAAAGATGAATTTGCTAATTGTAGCTTTTAGCCGTGGTATGACTGATTTGAGCTTTTAATAACTGTTCTACTGGACTTAGGTTTAAGCCATTTGCATTTTATTTTTAGCCTCCGTTTTGCTAATTTAAATTTTTAGCTACTCATTTGCTAATTTTATTTTTAGCCATTTTTCATTCAACCTTTATTTCTACAGGTTAATTCCAATGAGCCTTGGGGACTCATTTACAAGAGAGACCTGATTTAACAAAGAGTGATGACAACAATGGATAACAACGACAGCAATAGACAAGCATAAAAGAGGCATACACATTTAAGTTTTTTTTTTTTACAAATTAAAATAAATGGCAACCAAAAGGACAGTCTAAAGGAAAAGATGGTGGGGGAAAAAAAACAGCTAGATTATAAAGTGGAGTAGAAAACTAAAAACAGGAACATGTCTACATTGGTTCTTGCCAGGAACTTAACAGGTGTTTGAAGCCACTTAGAGAGGTCAAGGTCAAGAGCTTCAGGTCTTTTTCCAAAATATTCCAGGAAACAGGAGCAGAGAAGGAGAAGGTCCTTTTACCAAGTTCAGTTCTCACTGAGGGAACACTTATTTGCTAATTTTAGATTTTGGCTGCTGTTTTATTTTTTTATTTTATGTTTTAGCTAATCTGTTGCCAATGCTTTGTTGGTTTAAACATTTTGTTACTGTTCTGCAGGACTTACAGTTTAGCTAATGGTTGCTAACTTTAGCTACTGTAAATTTTAGCCACCGTTTTGCTTATACAGGATTTAGCTATGAATTGCGACTGTTCTTTTGATTTGAGATTTTTCCAGCTGTTCTGCAATTTTAACTTGTAAATACTGTTTTTTTATTTTATTTTATTTTTTTAATTTTAGCTTTAAGAATCTACTTCCCTTTTAGTCTTTATTATATTAAGCTGAACGACAATTCCCATATTGCAACAGTGTAAACGCAGGCTGATCACGTTCGTCGTCGGACATAGATATAAACACTAGATACAGCATTGGCTGCTGCGGCGCAGGATTTTCGGCCGCCATCTTGAAACGGTCGTCCTTATTCGGTTAAAGCAGAAGATGTCTCAGCACTTCGCTGCTTATTTCTGTTCTAATCGATGGACTGTTGACATCAGGTCTCGGGGGATAACTTTTCACAAGTAAGATGAACATATTATTGTTAGTATTTTGTGAATATAATATTACTGTACTGTATTTATGTCCACCAGCTGATGTGATGTTCAGTGTAACACGGTGTTCAGCTGCAATGAAGCTGACTGAGATCTGATGACAGGAATATTGTTCTAACAAGCATACTCACTATTTCAGTAGCATTGGTTCATTATCAACAGATATGTATCAGAACTGGAGTTTTGTTTAAGTTCTAGGAAATAAAAAAAATAAAACTAGGGAGAATATAGGAAATAGAAAAAAGATTGACCTCCTTTGTACAATGTTTTTGTTCAGACACAAATGTCCTGTTTTCATTTTGAAGGTTTCCCAAAGAAAAAGATGTGAGGAAGAGTTGGAAGTATCTTTGAGGAGGATTCATCTGAGCAGTGAGGATTTTAATCTGGAGGATTTTGATCAAACTGATCAGACTGAGAGATGGTGTGGTACCATCGGTTCACCTTCAAA